TGGCCGGGCTTGTGCCGTCTTTTGTATGGCCCACTCCCGCAAAAAGCACAGAGCCTGGAGAAGGGAGAGGCAACCTACTCCAGGATCCCCACCTGGAGAATCCTGCGGACAGAGGATCCTGGCGGGCCGCAGGCCACGGGGTCGCAGAGAGTCGGACACGACTGAGGGACTCAACAACAGGAACTCCTGGCGCAGGGACACGAGTGAGAAGGCGGAGAATTTAGGGGCAGGAGCCCGGCTGTTTTCTCCCCAGAGAGGCTCCTCAGTGCGCAGCTCTCTCTCCTGAGGGCCAACGACTGACTACCTGCAACTGGAAAATAGATTCCTATCCTGTAGGCAGTAACTTGGTAGATGATTAAATCCTTGCAAATCATTCAAATATTTCTGGACTGCAAAGGTGTTGTTGACACAAAGGGAAACTCCAGGGTCTTTGCCTTCAAGGAATCTGAGCAGAGTGGGTGAGGCAGACGGGACACAGGCGGGCGATCTTAGCAAAGGGCTCTGATAAAGCCTGTGTCATCTTTTCCTCCGGAGTAATTATTACCTAGTGGTCCTGAGTGGGACGTGTGACTTGTGTGACCCTGCTGGCATTTCCCCCACGCCCCGTCCTCTGGTCCTGGCTTAAGCCAAGTCTCCAGGGCCCCCACACGGCTGCGGTCTGGGCTCTCCACACGTCTGGGTTGTCCTGTCGTAAACACTTCGGACCCCGGGTTCGAGCCCAGCTGTGGTCTGCCTGCATCGCCATATAAGGGCCTTCCCTTTTCCACCTCAGAATTCAGGGGGAGGTTGCCACTGACCAATTCAAACTGCAAAGATGTAGACGTTTACACAAGTGACCACTGAAAGCCAGCACTGCTTTCTAAGTTTTTTTTCCCACTTTTTTTTAAACTCCTGACCCAGTTCTGAAATGAAATCACCCCTTGGTAGAAAATTGAAGGCTGCCACCCACATTCCCCATTTCCAGGAGCCTCTGCAGAACTCCTGCTGTTTTTCACAACATTGACTTCAAGGATACAAATTCAAACACGAGCAAAAACCTTAAACTTGAAGTTTTTTGCAAAATTTCATGCAAATATATCTTCTTGCTTCACATAATAATACTATTTTATAATGCTTTTAGTAATTATATTTTATAATGCTTCAGCTTTTGGAATTGTCTTTCGATGAACTGTACCAGATTTTGTGATATGTGTCCCCCGCCCCCCGCCAGTATTAATGCAGTCGTTTCTAATTTCATGGTTTCTAAGAAGAAAATCTGATACTATTACCTCTTCATGGATTTTTCTGTTTAAGCAATGTAACCTTTCGACTAAGTATATCTCTTTTAAGCAAGTATGACTCCACAGTTATTTTCCTTAAACCCAGTTATCATCTGATACTGACTGATTCACCCACCTGCCAAAAAGAATTAATCAACATATTAACTTATGCTACAATAAAGATAAAAATCTCCATTTCTTCAAAATACTTTTATATAATCTTTCAGACTATTTATAATCTATTTTAACACAGTCATTTTAATTCCCACAGTATATTATTATGCTGTCAAATTGAAATTTAAGATTTTTTTTTTTTTTTTTTTTTGCAAAACACATTCACTGTTGCTTGTATTTATCACTGTGAAGGGATTACCCCAAATGCTAACTGGTCATGGAGTCAGGGAAGGATGTGCTGAAGTGGATTAAAGTCTTAAACCCAATTTGTGAAACCACACTGAATGCATTCCCATCCAAACTAAGATCTTAAAGCACAGAGGTTCTCGGGCTGCAGCAAACAATGAAAAATCAAAAAACGGAAAGGCGTTCAGCCGGAATGAATCACCACACAAGATGAAAAAAGTAAGAACACCCACCAGATTTCATTATTTGATGGAAAAAAAAAAAGAAAAACCATCCTCTACTTTACAGTAGAGGCTGATGAGATGCAGGAAATGGTCAGGGAGAAAGGAGCAGTTTCCTCTGCAGTTACTGGTCTTAAACCCACAAACTTCTACACTTAATTCTAAGACATTACCTTGCCAAGACAAGCTCTTTAAACTAATAACTTCCCTTCTTCTGACAACTAGAAACACTTGTTCACTGTAGAAGACACAGATGAGCAAAAAGATAAAGAGCAAAAAAGCTCAGCACCCAGGGAGAGCTGCTATGTTCACTTTAAAAAGCCTTCTGGGGACTCACAGACCGTACGATGCACCCATTCCAAGTGTATAATTAAGTATTTTAAGATATATGTACTGGGCTGTACATCACCATCGCCACAATCTAATGTTAGAACATTCCATTACCCCAGAAAGAAACCCACGAGCAGTCACTTCCCATTTCTTCCCACCACACAGCCCCGCTCCTCGGTCCTGGGCAACCGCTGACCTGCTTCCTGTCTCTCTGAATCTGCTTAGTCCAGACCGCTCATATAAGCGGAGTCATAATATGTGGGTCTTCTCTGACTGATGTCTTTCACTTAGCTCAATGTTTCCCAGGCTCTTCCACACTGTAACACGTATCAGTACTTAGTATTTTATTGCTGAATAATATTCCACTGTAAGGATAGGCCACACTTTATTTACTCGTTTATAATGGACACTGGTCTCCGTGTTCTGTTGGGAACACAGCTCCTGCGAACATTCCTGCACAAGTTTTTGTTTGAACACCAGTTGTCGAGTCTCTTGGCGTCCACGAGTGGGATTTCTGGGTTATGCGGTGACTCTGTGTTTAATATTTTGAGGAACTGCCAGATTATTTTCCAGAATGGCGTGCACCACTTTACATTCCCATCAGCAATGTGGGAAGGTTCCAGTTTCTCCACAGAACACTTGTTATTATTTTTTAATACACTTTTGGCTGCAGTGCGTGGCATGTGGGATCTTAGTTCCTCCACCAGGGATCAAACCTGCAATCCCTGCATTGGGAGTGCCGAGTTTTAACCACAGGCCCCAGGATCATGTCAATTTAATTCTTAGACCACCCAGAGCGCTTAGAAGGGTAGAGAAAATTTTCTTCATCCTCGACAACAGCTCAGTACCAGTCTGATTTTTCTAACCATCTAGTGGCATCTTTGTAAGTTCAAGTTTTAGGATGAAATTTTAGATTTGTAATACAGACCTAGTTTTAAGTAGGCACCTCATTTGGTGTCCCAGAAACTTCACTGTCAAGAATTATGTAGTTCTGTGAATATACCTGTGCCAGGAGTTTGGGCAGAAAAAATAATATAGATCAATGAGAACATCAACGCTATGATGTGTTCCAGATTGGAAGGAAAATGGTTCTAAAATTATTAACAATAAAATACTTATCATGCTCTTGTGCATATTAAATTCATCTCTATAGAAGCTTTCATCTCTCTGCCCTTTTCTGTGGTTGGTATAAAATGACTTGGGTGTCAATCACGGCTCCTTCTACCCTCCATGTTTCGTCAACCAGAAAGAGCTAGCAACTCTACTTTCTATGTATTTCTGTTTTCTTGGCTCTGCCCTGTAGCATGCAGAATCTTAGTTCCCCAGCCAGGAGTGGAACCCAGGAATCAATCCCTGTACTGGGAGCTCGGGGTCTTAACCACTGGGCCACCAGGGCAGCCCCTCTATGCATCTTGATTCCATCCACTGCTCTGTGCCTCTACCTGAGTTCAGGCCACCGTCTTCTCCAGTCTGAATTACTGCCTCAGCTTCCTCCCTCAGTTCCATCCCCGCCAATCTTCTCTCCACATTACAGTAGGAGTGGGAAACACACTATTGCTGTGCCATTGTTGAGAGCCATGGAGACATGGGGTCACCTGTTACTGTAGCATACCATGGCCTAAGCAGACGACACCCAATGTCCTCCAGCTCCTTGGATGTGCTGTTCTCTCACTTTGGGCCTTTCCCTTCCTCTCCCTGTTTGAATCGCCCCAGCCTCTCCTGGCCTTCAGATCTCGGTTTAGATGTCGTTCTCTCTGCAAGCCCTTCTCTTTCTCTGACACACTCCTGGCACAGTCTGTACTTCCCCCATCACAGCACTGAATATAGAACCGTCGCCCTCGTCCACTGCGAGGCAGACACGACGACTTCCTCGTTCACCACGGCCGGCCATGTGGCAGATGCTGCAAATCCCTTGCATGAGTGAATCAATCTTTAGAACCTGAAAGCTTTGCCACACTACTTCTCAGGGGAAGTCACTGAAGGCAGAAAGTAGTTGAGTCCAAGTTGTGGTCTGATTCATCATGACGACACAAGCGAAGAAAAACATCCACGGCTGCCAAATGCTTCCCTGTCTTCACCTTGATGTAAGTTCTACGGGTTTTCCAAGCCTCTCACATTAAAAGAGTGAGGAGAGCTATAAGCAGTAGGAGTGAGGCTGAAGCTCCTTGGCAGGAGACAATGCCAGGCGCTCTTATTCCGGTACGTGTCTCAGCAGTGCACGAGAATGCCACACGGGTTGGCTCACAGTCTTGAAGCATTTCCGGTTCTCAGACAAGCTCTGGGCTCGGTGTGCAGGGTGTGTGCATTCCACAACTCCGGTCTGACCGAGTCACCCTGGATATTTTCCTGTCCCTCCCTGCCATAAAACATACGCGTAACAGCCTGGCGTGCGTCATGCCCTCTGATTCCCTTGTGAACTACCACAGGTAAGGCCTTCCACGGCCCCACAATTAAAAGATCACCCCAGAGCCATGCTGGTGCCGACTCAGAAAGAAGAGTCTCAGTTTAGGTTGATTAGACTGTGCTCTGGTGACACCAGAGAGGAAATCTGAATCTGAGCTCTCTATCCAAGAGTGTACGGTGGGGGAGAGCCACATATGAGACCTGAGTGGTCCTGAAGTTGACTTTTCAGCCCTGAGATGGAGAACTTCATGTTAAAATACTGGGCTTCCTCTACCATGCCTGACTCACATGCAGAAATGGTTTAACTTATCAGGCTGCACATTAAGAATGAAGCAGCCCACATGTAAAGATTGACTTGTTTTTGGAAAAGAAAAAACAAGAAAAAGACTGACTACTTTTCCAAAAGTCATGTTAAGAACAGGCATGTCTATGGCAAGGGTCCAAAGCTTCCATGAGGACACTGATGAGATTTGGGCAGGGTTCTGTAACACGTGTTAGCTTCAACTATTTCTGAGGTTTCCAAGGGATTACAGTGCTGAGGATGCTTGAAATGATGGTTAGAGCCAGGTCCCATAATTGGAAGTGAAAGGGGCATGGTTTTAAACTCAACGTAAAAATCAGGTAGTACTAATGGTAAAGAATCCGTCTGCCAATGCAAGAGATGCAGGTTCGATTCCTGGGTCGGGAAGATCCCCTGGAGGAGGGCATGACAACCCACTCCAGTGTTCTTGCCTGGAGAATCCCATGGGCTGAGGAGACTGGTGGACTGTCGTCCATGGGGTCGCAAAGAGTCAGACACAACTGAGGGACGAAACGACTGAGAATTAAACATGATAATGTTTGTAAAGCGCTTTGCATAAGGCTGGCTTTAGAGTCTCATTAAACGGCAAGTATAATCAAGCAGAGATCACCAACGAAGAGCTGGACTTCCTTGTAAGGGAAGGAGTTCACTGCCTCTGAAAGTACTTTAGAGGCAACTGGCCGTGTGCTGTCAAAGAGCGGCAGGGACCAAGAATGGGCTCCAGGGAATGCATCCAGATCTGAGACTCTAAGGCAGAGCAAGGCTGAAACTGCTTTGCATATACTGATTCTAAAGTAAAATGGCTCCCAAATACACAAAACCAAAACTGCTGGAACCACAGGGAGAAATGGACAAATTCATCATTTGATGAGTGACTGTATGATCTACTTTATTATGCATTAATGGATGAGAGGCAAATCTGAACATGAGTGTTAGTAAAAATGTAGAAAATCTGAACTACCAAGCTTGATTTACTTGATATACATCACTGCACCTATCTACCTATTGGTGAGATCAACACTCTTCTCTGGCTTAGATATTTCTAGAAACTGCCCATGGACTACCTAATAGAGCAAGTCTCAAGGATCCTTGATTCCATCCATAGAGTAGCAAATATATACATAAAATACATACATACATTTTGAATTTAAAAGTCTTTAAATAACTGACGGTTTAAAGAAGAAATAATAGTGAATACTTAAAAATAACAGAACTGAGTAAAAACACTGTGTATTGAAACTTGTGGGATGCAGAAAAAGTAGTAATTTGAGGAAAACTTATAACCTTAGATGCTTATATTAGAAAAACAGAAAGATTAAAGATGAATATACTAAACTCATTTAACTGAAAAACAGAATAATCTGAAGACAGTAGTAAGAGACAGAGAAATTACATATATCAGTGAAACAGAAAACAAATTTGCAATATATATTAACAAGGTCAAAAGTTGATTCTTGAAAAGCATATAATGAAACAAACTTTCTAGTTAGATCTAGTAGGAAAAAAATGAAACAAGTTAGTATCAATGAAAAAGAGACATTATATATAAAACATTTTTAAAAGATAAAATGAAAAACTTTTTAAAAGTAAAAAAACAGTTGAAAAGAACATTAAAAAAAAGAAAAGAAAAAAAAAAGAAAAAAAAATATATAACTTAGAAAACTGACTCAAGAATTCCTAAAAAATGTTGAATAGATCTATGACTATTAAAAACAATAAATCTAAAGGTAAAAATCTTCCCACTCATACAAAGAAACTCCACACCCAGACAATTTTATAGGGAGTTCCGCCAAACTTTGAGGAGACTGGTCATTTCAGAACTGTGTACATTATTCCAGAGAAAAAACGAGGAAAAAAAAAGGAAATATTCCCCAGCTTATTCTTTGGTGCCTGTAAATCCAGGGATAGTGTAAGAAAGGAAAATTATAAATCAGTCATAAACATAAAAATTCTAAATAAGATATCAGCTAAAAGATAATATATGTATTATGGCCAAATTAGGTTTATCACAGGCACACAAAGGTATTTAACATTGGAAAAACCTATACATATAATTCTTAATGCTGACAGATAAGGGGGCAGTGTTTTTGCTGACTTCAACAGATTAAGAGAGGAAACAAAGCATGTGATAAAATTTAATACTCACTCATGAGGAAATTTTTAGCAAATTCAGAATGAAAGAGAACTTTTTTTTTTTTTGAAAGAGAACTTTCTTAACTTGGTAAAGGGTATTTGAAAAAGCCTGCAAAATACATGATTCCTAACAGGGAAACATGTGAACTAAGGTATTTTAAAACCAGGAACTAGACAAGAATGTCTGCTATCATCACAAACATTCAACTCTGTACTGGAGACTGTAGCCACCATAATAAGGTACGAGAAAGAAAAGCAAATGAAAAAAAAAAAAAAGAAAAGCAAATGAAAAGCAAAGCTGTCATCACTCAGCATGGGACCCTCTGCCTCCTGTACAACGCAGGGAACTCTGCTCAGCGTCACGTGGCAGGCTGGACCGGGGCGGGGTTTGAGGGAGAATGGACATGTGTACACGCACGGCTGCATTCCTGGGCCGTCTGCCTGAAACTGTCACATTGTTAACATTGTATTGGGCTATACTCTTGATACAAAATAAAAAGTTAAAAAAAATGTGACCCTCTAAATAGAAAACCCTATTTAACTCATATGCAGAGTATATCATGTGAAATGCAGGGATGAATCACAAGCTAGAATCACGATTTCTGGGAGAAATACCAACAACCTCAGATATACAGATAATACCACTTTAATGGCAGAAAGTGAAGCAGAACTAAAGAGCCTCTCGATGAAGGTGAAAGAGGAGAGTGAAAAAGCTGGCTTAAAACTCAACATTCAAAAAACTAAGATCATGGCATCTGGTCCTATGACTTAATGGCAAATAGATGGGGAAAATATGGAAAACAGTGTCAGACTGCATTTCCTTGGGCTCCAAAATCAATGCGGACAGTGACTGCAGCCACAAAATTAAAAGACACTTGCTCCTTGGAAGAATAGCTATGACAAACCTAGACAGCAGAGTAAAAAGCAGAGAAATCAGTTTGCCAACCAAGATCCATATAGTCAAAGCTATGGTTTTTCCAGTAGTCATGTATAGATGTGAGAATTGGACCGTAAGGAAAGCTGAGCACCAAAGAATGGATGCTTTTGAACCATGGTGTTGGAGAAGACTCTTGAGAGCCCCTTGGACAGTAAGGAAATCAAAACACCTCAGTCCTAAAGATCAACCCTGAATGTTCATTGGAAGGACTGATGCTGATGCTGAAGCTGATGTGAAGAGCTGACTCTTTGGAAAAGACCCTGATGCTGGCAAAGACTGAGAGCAGGAGAAGGGGGTGACAGAGGATGAGGTGGTTGGATGGCATCACCAACTCCATGGACATGAGTTTGAGCAAACTCTGGGAGACAGTGAAGGGCAGGAAAGCCTAGCATGCTACAGCTCATGGGGTCACAAAGAGTCGGACAGACTTAGCTACCGAGTAACTACATGACCATGGGAACACATTACCAATGCTTCCCTTTCAGGGCTATGGAAGAGACCCATGGGAGTGAGGGGCCCTTACACGAAAATTTCATTAGCTTCATGGTCAGCCTGCCTCCAGGAACAAAATAGTGAAGACAAGTGGCGTGTCCACAGAAAAATGGATAAACAGGACATAAACTACTTCACAGAATCAATATTACAGCAGCGAAAATAAATCATCTGCTTCCTCACACTTAACAACTTGGAAGAATCAGAGAAACGTTCCATGATAAAAGCGAATCCCACAAGGCTACGTGTTATCTTTATAAAGCTCAAAAAGAGAATAAAACAGAGCGTTTGGGAATGCCTCCAACCATGATAAAACGACTAAGAATGGCGAAGAGGGACCAAGTTCAGGACAGTGGTGGTCGAGTGGAGAAGCAGGGGTAGGAGGTGCAGGCCTATGTACTCAGTACGGATACGTCATGGAGTAACGGACTTCTGTTTCGTTGGTGCGCTTTCAGACTTAGCGTGATTTCACTGCATCGGTAGCAGCCGGCAAGAGCTCAAGTCCTGGATTCTGCGCCCCGCTTCCTGCCCCCTACCTTTGCCCTTCATTTACTGCCAGCGGCTCGGGGACCAGCTGCAGAGAGGTGCGACCCCCCGGGGACCAACCCAGCCCCGGACCGCGCGCCTGTCCTCGCCGTCGGCGACGGGGGCGTGTGTGGAAAGGCCCAGGGTATCCACACGCAGATCAACGCTGCTCCGTTAATTCCCGTCATTCGCCGGCTGTCAGTAGATCGGAGCTCCCGGCCCGACGGGCGCCGCCCTCCCCGGCACCCCCCCACCCCGCCTCCCAGGGTGCGGGCTCCCCGCCCCCGCCCCACTCCTGGCTCCCGGACTCTTTCCCTCCCGCCCTGCCCACCCGATGACGCGAATTCTTCCACGGTGCCCGTGCCTGCCCCTCCCCGCGGAACCTGCCCGTTCCAGCGCAGCTCGGGAACTTACCGCCCGCCGGGAAGCCGCCCGGCCCCGCCCCTCGGCCGCTCCCAGCCGGGCTCCGCCCCCTCTCTCCGGGCCCCGTCTCCTCCCTCCCTTCCTCCCTCTCCCAGCCGGGCCCCGCCCCCTCCCGTCCGGCAGCTCCCAGCCGGGCCCCGCCCCCACGCTGGCCCCGCCCCCTCGCGCCGCGGCACCTCCCAAAACCCGGAAACGTGGATCCCGCCCTCCGCGCCGTCCCCACGCAGCAGGGTGGCCGCACGCTGCGGGCTCGTCGGCCGGAAACCCGGCCCAGTGCCTCAGGGGGAGCTGCCCCGAGCGGGAACTGACACGGCCGCAGTCCGCGCGGGTGAGCGTGGCCCCGGCTCCGCGGCTCCGGCCTGCCTGCCGTCCTGCTCCTCTCGTGCGGGCCGCGGGCGCCGGGCCGCGGCGGCAGGCTGGGCCTTGTGCGGTCCCCTCCCCTGCGCCGTCGTCCCCGCCCCATCCCGCGTGCGGGTGCCGACGTGACGTCACGCGCCTCTGCGTGCGTGGCCGCCGGGGGCCGACGTCGGAGGAGGGGCGGAGGGAGGGAAGGGGCGCGGGCCGGGAGCGGGGCCGCGGATTGGCGGCCGCTTCCGCGCCGCCTCGGTTCCGCCTGCAGGACGGCCGTTCCGAGCTCTCCGCGCTCGCGTGTAGTCGCGCCTTCCTCACCCGCCCCCTCGACCTTTTCGGAAACTTGAGGTTGTGACTAGACCCTCGCTTGCTTTTCTGTTGGAATTTTTCCGGGAAAATGGAGCCTGGCAATGTATCCTAAGAATTTTTTTTTTTTTGGAAAATTGTGTCTCAGCATATTTAACAGCCCCCAAATTAGGTTAAATTCCTGTTTCCCAATTGCTGTCATTTTGCAAAACCCAGTTTCTGTTGTAAATGGGAAGAGCTGTGGTTGGGAGCTTGCACGCACCGAGAAGGTGTGCGCTCCGGGTCCCTCGGCCCCCCGGTGCTGAGTCCCGGGTGAGACCTGAGCTTGTAGCACTGGTCACAACAGAACATGGGTGTGCCCCTGGGGCGACGCTGGGATCTTGTAACCTCTGGGCGAGTGTTACTGTTGCTGCTTGCGCTTCTGTTGTAAAGACTCCAGTTGCGAAATAGCCCTCTTGTATTTTCTGTGTGTGCGTGTAACAGAAAAGTCTACCCCAGAATTTCTGTGATGTCTGGTTATGTCAGAGTGCAAGGCAGCCCACAGACAGGTCAGTGGTGCGAATCCTTGTGCAGCGTGGAGCCAGGACTGTCTTCACCAGGGAGACTTGGACGGTGGGAGGGAAGCCTCAGGTCAGCACTGTCTTCTCTGTCCTTTGGAGGCATAGCCCAGGGACGTGATGACTTTAGGGTACTTTATCCATGACTTTAATGAGGGCAAAATAAATCAGGGTATAATTTTTTTCCCCAGAGTATTGAAGGATGTTCGTTCCAAGATCCCTGAAAGTCAAGCGGAACGCTAACGATGACAGTGGAAGTTGTGTAGCCAAGAAAGTCAAATCCGAGGCAGAAGACCGGGGGCTGGGTGCAGGTGGGGATGGTCTCGCCGGTGCCTCGGGTACCAAAGGGGCTGCCGCAGCGGCCCACCAGGAGGCCCAGCCGCGCCCTCTCCCCGGGCCTGCTGGGCCGGCGTCCGAAGGGACTCTGCCCGACCCCGAGCCAGGGACACAGGCTGGCGATCTCCCCGAAGAACCGGTGAAGTCCTTCTCCAAAACCCAGCGGCAGGCCGAGCCCGGGGAGCCGGTATGCGTGGTGTGCGGGCGGTACGGCGAGTACGTGTGCGACGAGACGGACGAAGACGTTTGCAGCCTGGAGTGCAAAGCCAAGCATCTGCTGCAGGTGAGGGGCGTGGAAGCGGCGTCCCAGCCGAGCCGCCCCCAGAAAGCGGGCTCCGAGCCGGTGGCGCCGAGCCCTACCCCCTATGTCTACACCGAGCACGCCTTCGTTGCGCACCTTCGGGAGGACCAGATTGAGAACCTCAGGCGGCAGCTGGGGATCACGGTCCGAGGCCGAGGTGTCCCCAGGCCCATCGTTGATTTTGAACACTGCGGCTTCCCCGAGGCCCTAAACCGCAATCTGAAGGCCTCCGGCTACGAAGTGCCCACCCCCATCCAGATGCAGATGATTCCGGTGGGCCTTCTGGGCAGAGACGTGCTGGCCAGCGCGGACACCGGCTCTGGGAAGACAGCCGCCTTCCTGCTTCCGGTCATCGTGCGAGCTCTGTCTCAGGTGAGTTAGAGCTCACCTGTATGAGCTCAAACAGGTGAGGGGTTTACCCAGAGTGAGCCTCAAGCTCCTTAAAAGCTGGAACTGAATACCTAGACCGTTAGTAACTGGGACTCAATTGTATTATATTGAATGAATGTCTTCACTGAAGGTCTGGAAAAAGGAAATCACTTCCAAAATGGTTTCTTTTTAACGAATTTTCTATTTAAGGAGCATGCATGATTTGGCTTTGGGGGGAAAGTCCTGCTGACTAGGTGAGCTGTGATTTTGGTGTCAGTCTAGCATCCTTTGAGTTTGTGTCTTGAAAAACCTGATACCAAAGTCAAAAGACTGTTGTGGAGTTTCAGCATATATCATTAAGGGTGATCTCTGTTTCACCTTGAAAATGATACCACCTTGCCTTCCTTGCTCGTTTATAAGCATTCCTGCACATAATGAGATTAAAAGACATTCTGTGTGATTATTCACCAAGTACTGGTGAGTTTGTGAGTTTTGAAGTATGGCAAGAGGGAAAGGAGTGAGAAATAACAGGTGATGGAAGAAGAGAGAAAGGGAATTTCAGAAAACTAAACCGTAGTAGAAGATAATGTGAGAAAAAAATAAAAAGGAAGGACTAGATGGTCAAGATATAAATGAAACTCAACCCAGAACTTCGGGTTGGCCAAAAAGTTTGAGTTTTTCTGTAACATCTTATGGAAAAACACAGAGAATTTTTTCGCCAACCCAATAGAATATTTGTACACTTAAGGTTTTTGGACAAAGAAGTGAATCTACAAGGCACTAAGGGGAAACCGATAGGCGCTGCTGGGCCTGACCCGGCTCTTCATGGAGACCAGCGGGCCCCTCTTCCTTGGAGGAGGATGGCCCGAGATCGCACAGTCCAGCTGACAAGGAGCCAAGCGTCCACGTTACCGCCTTGGTTACCGCAGGCGCCTCTCCCTGGTCTGCGTTTTGATGTTTCCTTGTGCACCTGTGTTCCGTGGGAGATGGGTGTAGTTTCTGAGGGTTTTGGAGGAGGAGCAGGAGGCAGTTGGGGTGGTGGGATCTCTTTCCGAGGGGAGGTGCTCCTGGGATTGCCTTGCAGACTGGAGTCTGCAGCAGCGGCAGCTCACTGTGGGTGTGTTTCCATTTCTGCAGAGCAAATCGCCGTCGGGGCTGGTCCTCACGCCCACACGGGAGCTGGCCATTCAGATCGAGCGGCAGGCCAAGGAGCTGATGAGCGGCCTGCCCTGCCTGAGGACTGCGCTCCTGGTGGGGGGCCTGCCTGCGCCCCCCCAGCGGCACCGCCTGCGCCAGCGCATTCAGGTGGGCCCGTTGGACAGGGCGCCTTTGCCGAGGACCAAAACAGTGCAGGAACCAAGGCTTTTCTCCCCAGGAGGAGCTTTGGAGTGTGGCTTTAGGTAGCCTTGGAACTCTTGTTCCATGAGCCTTAATTTTCAAGTTGGGCTGTGTGTGACAAAGGACAGGAGCACAGTTGACCGCTGTCCAATGGCCTCACATCCTTTTATCTCCTTTGGGCCCTGAACTTGCTCTTGGAGGGGGGTGGGCGTATCCCCTCTCGCCTAGTTGCGAAGATGCATCTCTGAAGGCTGGGCTTCATCTCAGGATCATGGCCGGTACATATCAGAGAGTGGTTCCTACGAACCAGGACATCGTCCTTCATAATCACAGTCCAGAGATGGGCGAGGAATTCCCGCGGCCTCGGCGGAATCATCAGGCGCGAGCGTTGCTGTCAGTGCCTGAGGCCCCCCCCGCCAGGTTTCGGTGGCCGTCCCATCAGCTTCTTTTCATCGTGTTCAGTCATTCATTGCCCGTAGCTGTCATGCCTCTCTCAGCATCTTCAGTTTAGAGCCTGTCGTTCCTTTTTTTCTTCTGATGTTGGCATTTTTAAGGATTACAAGGCCTTTGAAGAACAACCCTCGACTGAAGAGATTGGTGTTTTGTGTCTTTGATAGGAACATCGCGGGAGAGGTGCTGTGTTGTTCTCATTACATCCTTTTACGTGGCACACGGCTTCAATTTGTCCTTTTCACTGATGCTTTCATCTGTCAAGGAGCAGTAAAGTTTGTACCTTTCATATTGAATAAGTGTTTTAGGGGGAGTACTTTCAGTTGGTAAATATTTTGAGCTTCACCAGACTCCCCACGTATTTATTTCTTTACATGGACTGATGGTTCCTTTTTTATTTATAGGGTTATTACTTGGGTGGCTCACGGAGGCACCTTCAAGTCGGTTTCTGTGTGCTTTGATCATATCCCTGTCCTTGTTTGAGTCCTTTCTTACTTTTCTGTCTGAAAAAGATGGCCTGTACGGAGCTCATCCTTTCCTTGCCTCTGCCCGGAACGCTCCGAGGAGCCCTGGCTCCTTTGTGTATAGAGTGGTGTTCGGAAACAGACCTGGGCTCTCCTTGGGCCCCTTGCTCTTGGGCCCGTCATTGCTCTGGGACCTGGAGACCATGAGTTCCTGTTGATGGTTCCAGTTCTCGTTCGTCACGAGGCTCCTTTAATGCTCTGAGTTTCCATGTTTATCGCTCTGACCGTGAGAAACCTGCCGCCCTTATCCATGACATCACTCCTCTGCCTGCCCACCCCCTGCCGTGTCCCCAGCACCCGCCCCCCCCACCCAGCAGTGCTTCCTCTCTGCTCGCTGCACAGCCTCTCCAACCCCTCCATCTGGCCTCCTCCTCCCTGCCCACCCCGTGTCAGGCCTTGTGGACGCGCACCCCTGGAGGGAAAAGTAACAACTGTCTGTCTGCTCAGCAAAGCTCTTTCACGAGTGAGGATGAGACAAAGACCTACTCCGATAAACAAAACTGGGAGGGTATTGCCAGTGGACCGTCTGCAGGAACTTGCAGAGGAAGCCGTCCTGCAGATAAGGAAGATTCCAGAGAGGAAGGTGGGGGGCAGAAGGAAGCTGGTGCAGAGGCAGCAGTGGGCATGTGGGCGAAGCTAAATGGACACAGGCTGACGATCAGGGATCAGGAGCAAGCGTGGTGTTAGAGAACAGGGTGGACACCGTCCAGGAGCAGTGTGTAGGGCGGGCGAGATGGGATCGCGGTAAAGCTTCGCGAGCAAGCTGAAAGTGTCCATTAACTGTGTTACCTTATAGATGCACTGGCATTCTAGGGGAAGCACTCAAAGGGTGAAAAAAAAGTTCATAACTTCCAAACCGTCGGAGGGGAAAATGGAAGAAGAAGAGTGAAGTCACATCAACATAGTTAAAATTTTGTGGGCGTGAAGGACACACAAGCCAAGCCAAGCCCCGTGCTCTGGGGTGACAGGCCTCTTATCACCCGCAGCGGGGTTAGCACTGGGCGGTGTGGACCGGAAACGTGGGTACAGCCGAGTGTGTGAGGTGGTTGGCAGCTTCACCAGGGTCACTCTGGCCCTCCTCGTTTAATCCTCACAGTGGCTGTTAGTGTTTGCATCTTAGGATGGATGGGAGAACAGACCCACGCCATTATTAAAGGCTGGAGCCACCACTCTTGCCGAAGTTTGACTGAAGAGCCCCTACTTTCTTTAATACTTATTTTCAGCTTTTATTTACTTGTTTGGCTGTGCTGGGTGTTAGTTGTGACACATGGGCTCCTGAGTCGCAGCCTGTGGACTCTTAGTTCACCACGTGGGGTCTGGCTCCCTGACCACGGATTTAACTTGGGTTCCCTGCACTGGGAGTGCGGAGTCTTAGCCACCCGACCATCAGGGAACTCCTGAAAGCCCCCACGTGGACCACGACTTCAGATAATATAGTATTAAACTGCCAAGAGCCTTGAGCGATCTTAGAATTCACTATCCCCAGCCTCGTAATTTGAAAGTGAAGTGGCAGGCCCAGAGAGGTCAAGGAGGGTGCCCTTGTTCATGGAGCCAGATCGGTTTCGGCGTGTCTGAGGTCCCCCCAGTCTGGCCCTGCCTCAGCCACGTGTCCCCCCTCTGCCGTCACCTCCCTGCCCCCCAGCCACGCCGCCACGATGCCCTGCCCTCTCCCTGGCCTTCCCCGCGTGCTCACGCCCGCTATTCCTGTGGGTGTCGGCTTGTGTCTGAGCAGGGGCCGGTACCTCCCTCCGTTTGCAGCCTGTCCTGATCATGTGAGCACGTGTTTGTTCTGTCTCTCCCTCTGTGTTACGGCTTTGGTGAGAGCAGGGGCGAAGTCTGATTGACTCATCGTTGAGTTCTGAGTACTTGCACAGCGTCTGGCGTGCCTCAGCCACTAAGTGTAGAACGAAGGAGTAAATGAATAAACGGATGTCATCTGACTGTCTAATTTACTTTTTCTCTTTTATTCAGGTTATCATAGCAACTCCCGGGCGACTTCTGGATATAATAAAGCAGAGATCTGTAGAACTCGGCAGTATAAAAATTGTAGTAGTGGATGAAGTAAGTGGTGGTGTTTAGAAGCATAATTTTATAGAAGTTATGAAAAGCACATTATAGTTACATAATTGCATTGTGTATTTAACCAATTTCTCCCCCAAAGGAAAACAATGCAGGGATTGTTTTTTTTTTTTTTAATTGGTGGTAGTGGTTCTTAAGCTAGTTCTTGTATCAGTTCAGTTCAGTTGATCAGTCGTGCCTGACTCTTCGACCCCATGGGTGCAGCATGCCAGGCTTCCCTGTCCATCATCAACTCCTGGAGTTCTTGCATAGACTGCAGCTAAACTGAAATTAAATCACAGCTGTCTTTTCTTAATTCGGCTTTCTCATAAACTGATCAGGTATACTATATTCTCAGTGATAAGCTTTTTAAACATGCTGGCTTGAAATTTATCTACAAAAAAAGAAGAATTGGTGAAAGTCATGATTAGCAGGAATTTTGGAAGTAGCTAATGATGCTTACTAGGAGGAGCTTTTTAAACTTTTCTACATGAGTTAAACATGTTGTTTGATGTTATTCCACCGTGTGGATAAGCGTGAGAACACAAAACCACGTGCCAGCCAGAGGGGCAGGGCCGCCTGCCTGCGTGCTCATCCCCTGGCAGCGACGGGGCAGAGCCCTGGGGTTCCCCAGCAGTGATCAGAAATGCGGGGTGCTGGGTGCTGACCCGTGACAGCAGCCTGCCTGCCTCCGTGGCCCCAGTAATTAGCGGCCACACCACACTGCAGACGTGGGTTTGGAGCCCGTGTCCCCGGTCCAGGCCCCAGCTCCTCAGCACTGTGGGGCCCTGTGCCACGCGCCTCAGGTTTTACGTCTATAAAACGGTCTGCCAGTGCCCGTCTCCCTAGAGTCCTCCCCTGAAACGCGCCTGGCGTCTAGGGAGTGCCGGGCAAACGGGGACAGTCGGCCACCCTTGACAACGAGTTCAGGCTCGCTGAGTGGGTGGCTGAGCGTATTGCCCGGGCACCCTCGGGAGTGAAGTCAGATTGTCTGGGAGCGAGGGCGTCCATGCAGGTGACACGGGGGACAGCTCCCAGAAGACGAGGCCAGGTCTGGTCTTAATTCAGGGGCGCCCATGTCCACCTCTTCCTCGATCTGTGCCCCCCACTTACTCTGGACCCAAGCTCTGTCTCCCCCGGGGGCTCTGCCACTTTAGAGTAGCCTGTGTTCATTGTGAGCAGTTCTAGTATTTGAAACACCTTAAATTTAGGTAGTGCTTTTAATTCTAAGAGCTTTTAAAAGTACATTTTCCCACACTTTTCACTCCGTTAATGCTCCTTCAGGGTATGTAGGAAATAGAGTGGAAACTGAGGTGTGGAAAGAATAAGATTTTCCCAAGTTCTGGCTGATAATGGTTTCGAAAAAATGCAGTGTAGGTGGGAACTGGTCATGAATATTGTGTATATGTGGGTGTGTGTGTAAATGAAACAGAACTTTGATGAAATAGTACTTAGCATTGCAACATGTGATTTTCCTATTCCTATATTTTTTATTCTGTTCTATTTTATGGCTTTGAAAAAGGCTATTCATGGTCCATTCTACAGTTTGAATAGCAACTGTATTCTGTGAGTAATCCATGTATTAAATGCATTAAAGACAAGCTGGAAATAGCAGGAAAAACACCCATATTCTCATTGAAATAACCAAATATAGCCATGGAGATTGTATTTCTTTTTCATTTCCTCCTGGCCTTGAGAATTCAGACTTTATTCTGTAAACATTGGGAAACTTTAAAGGATTCTAGGCCTGCATGTATTATAATCAGGCTTGTATTCTCGACCTGGAGGATAGCCTTTAAGCAGGAAGGCTGGTTTCCAGGCATTGGGGGCGGGGGTGTTGAGCCGGGGTGGTGGCTGTAGGGAGGGGAGGAGATGGGAGATAAGGGAGGCGGTGTGGTGTCAGGTCAGGGGTGATGGGTGAGTTATTTTTTTATACTTTGTTTACCAGATTTTCTGCAGTGCTCTTGTTAGTATTAAAAAAAAAAAGGGTAATAATTGCATCTTATAGAGGCATATGAAGACTAATGATTGCCTGTAGAATTCAGCACCTGGGGAGTGACAGATGACGCAGAGGAGCTGGTGAGGGGGAGGGGAGGGAGGTGAGCCCTGGACTGGACAGTGCGGGGAGGCGAGGAGGCCGAGGAAAGGTGATGGGGCACTGGGCAACCCCTCCAGGAAGCTTAGGCGAGAAGAGAAATGGAAGGAGTCCGTTTCTCGTGGTCTTATTTTTTTGAACCAGGAGACCAAGGCCATCTGCTGAGATGAGTGGGGCTCAGCAGGGCCGCTGAGGAGCGGGGGAATGCTTGCACGTGCCCTGCGGGTGCGTTTTCTCTCTGTCTCACAGTTAATAGAAGCGCGAGAAGGACCATGCCAGTGCTTTATACGGGCTTCCCAGGTGGCGCAGCGGTAAAGAATCCGCCGGCCAGTGTAGGAGCCGCAAGAGACAAGTTGGATCCCTGGGTCAGAAAGATCCCCTGGCATAGGAAATGGCAACCCACTTCATATTCTTGCCTGGAAAATCCCACAGACTGAGGAGTCTGCCAGGCTTCAGTCCACAGGGTCACAAAAGTTCACAAAAGAGACATGACTGAGTGCGCACACACACACTTCATATACTTTAACTCATTAGTTCTCATCACAGCCGTGGGAGGTAGTTACTGCTATAATTTCACCTGTAAGAGGAAAGACTACAGCTTAAAACTGTTAATTAACTTGCTTGAGGTCATGTAGAGCCAGGATCAAACCCAGACCATCGTGATTACTTTAGATTTTTTAAATGTTACAGAGTGAGCGATACTAAAACAAGTCATCAAGGTTCAGTCTAACTGACAGCGCATTAGTGGACACCAAAATGATTAAATATCTTATTTTCCAAAACCATAGACACCAAGGTTATATTTGAAAATCAAGATAGCTTTAATCTTTTGTTATTTTAAAATTAAAAACTTGAACATTTTTTTCTATTGTTTCAGCAATACATTCATTGTTTTTGAAAAATCAGCAATGCAAAGGTTTATACAGGAGTGAAAGCCTACAAATTAAATGCTTTAATTTATTTAAAATCATGTTTTATTATAAATACATGTTCGTGGTAAAAACAAGAGAGTCAAACTTTGCCAAAAAAGCTATAAAATGAAGAATTAAATTGTACCCCTAACCCCAGCTTGGGCTTCCCTGATAGCTCAGTTGATCAAGAATTCACCTGCAATGTGGGAGACCTGGCTTCGATCCCTGGGTTGGGAAGGTGCCCTGGAGAAGGGAAAGGCTACCCACTCCAGTATTCTAGCCTGGAGAATCCCGGGGACTGTATAGTCCATGGGGCCGGAAAGAGTCAAACACCACTGAGTGACTTTCACAGCCCCAGCTCATAAATCTTTTCCCCAGAGTTAGCAGTTAAGTTTCAGTGCTCTATATTTTCCTTCTTTCCTTCTAGCAGTGATTCATTACCATTTAATAAAGAGCTCTCTGGTCATTTTTCATGGTAGCATAGCATTGTGTTGTATGGGTTTACCATCATTTATTTACCAAATCGTCTACCGATACATATCTAAGGTCTGTGCCTTTTTTGGCCACTATTAGTAATACCATAATACAAATCTCTGTAGGGACTTCTCTGGTGGTCGAGTGGTTGAGAGTCTGCCTTCCAGTGTGGGGGACGCAGGTTCCATCCCTGGTCAGGGAACTTAAGATCCCACCTGCTGAGGGAGTGGAGCCCGCGTGTCTCAACTAGAGAGCCCAGGGGTCATGATTAAAACCTGATACAGCCAAAAATAGAAGAAATAAATTTTAGAAATCTTTGCATGTCACTGTAAACATAGCTAATAGAAGTTTGATATAAATGTGTGTTTTCCGCAGCTAATCCTGTGTCTTTTGACACTGTAGTGTATTTCTCCGTGTAAAGCGTTGTTAATGTTTTACGTTCTTAACTGCGCCTGTTTTCCCCCAGGGTGCTCTGGGTTTCCACGTAAGACTGACCTGCAGTGGTTTTATTCCAGGCTGACACCATGTTAAAGATGGGCTTTCAGCAGCAAGTGCTTGACGTCCTGGAGCAGCTGCCTCGTGACTGTCAGACCGTGCTGGCGTCAGCCACGATCCCGGCCAGCATAGAGCAGCTCGCCGGCCAGCTCCTGCGCGACCCCGTGACGGTCACCGCCGGGGAGAGGAACCTGCCCTGCCCCAGCGTGCGCCAGATCGTCCTGTGGGTGGAAGAGCCAGCCAAAAAGAAAAAACTGTTTGAAATCTTGAACGTGAGTGGGAGAGCGGTCCGCCCTGGGTCGTGCACGTGGTCGGCACCCTTTGCAGTTCTGGAGGCGGTGCTGCTCAGACGTGGCTCTGGGGGAACCTGCTCTGGGGGTTTCATCATAAACTGCTTGGCTTCCTTCAGAGTTCTGTGGGGTTCAGATACATTTTTGTGAAAACATGCAGTGTAGACACAAGGTTAGTTTTCTTTTCAGTCTTACGGAACAGTATGTAAAGATCAAGGGTGTTGCAGGGCTGGCCGCCCAGGGGTCAGGAGTCGTCACTCCCAATGCGGGGTGCGGGGGACCTGAGTTCGGGCCCTGCCTGGGGAAGCGGGATCCCATGTGCCGCACTGAGTGGCGGGAAAAAAAAACAACCTAAAGACAAGTTCTCTTTTGGCTGTTCCGTCCTTGAGAAATAGAATTTTTTGACAGTAACTAGCTTAAGGGAGTTGGAGAAGGCAATGGCACCCCACTCCAGTGTTCTTGCCTGGAGAATCCCAGGGACGGGGGAGCCTGGTGGGCTGCCGTCTATGGGGTCGCACAGAGTCGGACACGACTGACGTGACTTAGCAGCAGCAGCAGGTTAAGGGAGTGGTATGTACTAGCCTAGTTACCTAAAGACACAGTGTTAAATGTGGTTTGTACTGATTTATGAACAGTATTGGAAATTAGAAATTGCACTTTAAGTTGTAAAACTATTTTTGTAATATTAACGCGGTGATGGGGAAGTCTGAAGGACAGATACTGTTTGGCTTCTGTCTGTGCATGTTTTAAGGAAGGCACTCATTTGAACAGAATGTACTTTTTCCCTCCCTGACAGTGTTGATAAACCTATGGAAAACTAGCTCATCCTAGTGCTTTCAGAAAAGCATCCCATTGTAAATTATAGGAGTAATTTTCAGTATGTGTTGTTACTGTTTTAGGATAAGAAACTCTTTAAGCCTCCAGTGTTAGTTTTCGTGGACTGCAAGCTAGGAGCAGATCTGTTGAGCGAGGCCGTTCAGAAAATCACGGGTCTGAAAAGCACCTCCATGCACTCGGACAAGTCACAGATGGAAAGGAAAAACACACTGAAGGTGACACCCAGCTTTCTGCTTTGTTCTCTTGCCCATAAATTTTGTGTTGCCTCATTTTCAAGAGATACCATATTACCAACTGTTTTTTATTTTTATTTACTTACTAAAATTTTTTTCCAGCTGTTTTTAAAGCTGATCTTTTTTTTTTTAATGACTCTGAGAACTTCAGGCGAGCAGTGGTGTGACGTTAATTGTCCCTCTTGCCAAGGCTTCTGTGTTTTGGGAGCAATAAACCTGTTCCCTCGGGATTGTCTACTAAACATATTAATCATTCAGAATCTGCCATTTGTGATATCAGGTCACTTTGGGCTGGGGCAGAGAGTAGTTCACTTTTGGAAAAGGTTTACCTGAATCAATTAATAGAAAAAATTTGGGGTGGGGGTCGGAAGGAATGGAGGCTCCCTACATTACCTAGATATACCAAGACCTTTACTTTTGCAGAGGTGGTGCAGCCACAGTATTGAAGACGGTGTTGAGAAAAGAAGGGGCCATCTGAATGACAGAAAACCACTCAAGATAAGCTCTGCATAATGAATTTTGTCGCTGTTTTGGAAAGGGGCTGCTCGAAGGAGACTGTGACGTGGTGGTGAGCACAGGGGTCCTGGGAAGAGGCCTGGACTTGGTCAGCGTCAAGCTGGTTGTCAATTTCGACATGCCCTCCAGCATGGACGAGTACGTACATCAGGTAAAGGGTTTACTCACCACCACCGTTTTGCTCATGAATTTCCTTCTTTTAAAAAGATGTTTGTTTTTGGCTGTGCTGGGTCTTCGTTGCTGGGTGGGCTTCTTGCCAGATGTGGTGGGTGGGGACTGCTCCCTAGTTGCAGCGTGCAGGCTCCTTGTCGCAGTGGCTTCTCGTTGAGAAGCCCTGGCTCAGAGCACAGACAGACTCAGTTGTTGGGGCGCGTGCCCCGTGGCGCGTGGAATCTTCTCAGAGCAGGGAGCGAACCCGTGTCTCCTGCACTGGCAACAGATTCTTTAACCAAACCATCAGGGAAGACCCTACTCGTAAATTTTCTCATGCAAGGCGTTGTCAATATAGTCGTGAGTTTGTTTTTTCTTTTTTAAAAGCAGAACATAAACCTGCATATATTTTTGCTTTTAAAATATATGTATATAAGGACTTCCCTGGTGGTCTAGTGATTAAGACTCCACGCTTCCACTACAGGGGCCTCCGGTTTGATCCCTGCCTGGTTTGGGGAACTAAGATCCCACATGCTTTACGGTGTGGCCAAAAGGTAAAAAAATAGATAAATAAATGTATATAAACTAAATACTTTTTTTCAGAAGAAGTATGTGGATGCCTGGATGCATTAAAAATTAGTTGGGGGCCTCGCTGGTGGCTCAGTGGTTAAGAATCTGCCTGCCAATGCAGGAGACACGCATTTGATCCCTGGTGCGGGGAGGTCCCACATAGCTCTGAGCAACACAGCCCACGCGCCACAGCTGTGGAGCCTGTGCTCCGGAGCCCGGGAGCTGCAGATCCTGAGCCCTGGTGCCCTGGAGCCCGTGGTCCACAGCAGGAGAAACCATCGCAACTAGAGCAGCCCCTGCTCCCCACTGCTGGAGAAAAGCCTGTGCGGCAGTGATGTAAATACATAAAAACTTAAAAAACTAGTTGGAGATAGCAACCTGAAATGTTTGTTAGAAAAATTTAAGTGTTAGCATTTGGTTTAGTTTTATTTTCTTTGTATTTTTTGTTTTCTTCAATGAGTATATTAAATGGCCTTTATAACGAGAAAAAGAGGGCTTTATTTAAAAGGTTGTTTTAAGCTGCTACACCTGGCCAAAACAAAATCGATCTGTTGAAGCATTTGTGTTTCAGGAATCGTGTCTTCCATCATCTCTCCATGTCCTTATTTGCTCTAGACATTCCCCTCTCGAGGTTCTGTTCCCTCCCTTTGCTGCAGAGATAAGTGCCTCTCCTCTTTCCGGCAGGAACAGAGCCTCTCTCAGCGCCGTTATCTCGCTGACCGCTGCCTCCTTCCTTCCCGGCATCACTTACAGCCTCTTGGGGTGAAGTCTTTTGCTGCTGTTCTTAGAATCACCTCTGAATGTCACGTTACGGGGCTCACCCACTGAAACGCTCATAGTGCCTTCACTGAGCTGTCGCTTTATTTTCCCAAAGGCTTAATTGTCTGGCCGGTCTGCCCTCCCTCCCTCCTTCCCTGTCTTTTGTCTCCACGCCACCTCATTTCCCTGTGCCTCAGGCACTTAGTTATTCCACAGGGCTGACTGTTCAAGTGACTGGAGCTTATTTTCTCCCAGACTTTCAGTTTGATAATTTTGGATGGAAGTCTGTCTGGAGTACTAAAATACTCAAGAAGCTTCTTAAATGGAGCGTGCTGGTTGTACCTGCGTGCTCACCTCTCCCCTCCAGGTCAGCCCCATTCTGGCAGTTGTCATGGGCACCGCTGTGATGCTCTGTGTGTGTGTGTTCGCTTTCAGGCTCTTCGCCCTTGCAGGTTATTACAGAATATTGAAGAGGGTCTCTGTGCTGTACTTGTTATTTTCCTGTGTGATGTGCTAGTGTGTATCTGTTCATCCCAGTCTGCTGATTTATCCCTCATCCCACTCCCTTTCCCCTTTAGTAAGGGCGCGCTTGTTTTCTGTTAGTCTCTTTCTGTTTCGGACTTAAGTTCATTTGTATCTTTTTTAGGTTCCACACGAGTGATGTCACAGGCATTTGTCTTCCTGACTGTCTTGCTTAGTGTGGTCATTTCTACTTGGATCCCTGTTGTTACAAACAGCGGTGTTGCCTTTTTTTGTGGCTGAGTGTTCCATGGGGCTTCCCCGGTGGCTCAGTGGTAGAGAATCCACCTGCCCAGGCAAGACATGTGGGCTTGATCCCTGGGTCAGGAAGGTCCCCTGGAGGAGGGTCTGGCAACCCACTCCAGTATTCCTGCCTGGAGAGTCCCGTGGACAGAGGTGCCTGGCGGGCTAGAGTCCACGGGGATGCAGAGAATCGGACATGACCTGAGTGACTAAACAACATGTGCATGTACCACATCTTCTTTATCCAGTCATCTGTCGGTGCCTGCCTTTTTCATTAAATAAATCTTAGACATCATGCCTTATCAGCACTCATCCTAGGTGCCTTTACTAAGTGTTAATATGTATTTAGTGTTTAGCCTAAGGCCAGGCACTGTTTTCTAAGCTCTTTAAAGGGTTTTCTTGTTGAATCTGGCTCGTTCTATTTTTGTGGTTGCATGGGAGTGTATTACACGGATGTCCTGTCATTTATTTAACAAATACCTCACTGCTGGATGACCAGATGTTTCAAGTGTGTTGTTAAACACCCAGGCACACAGCTGCTGAGGCCTCTCCTGCAAATATATCTGTAAGAAAAATTCCTAATGGGAGGAACAATCGATTCATTTAAATAATCTGAATATACTTTTATGTTTTGCATTTTCAATTAAAGAGCAGAAATTGACCAAGATTGTATATTTCTCTCCCCTTTGAAGAGTTTCTCAGTATATTTGGAGACATGTCAGTTTTGTTCCTTATCATAGGTCTCCACAAATTTGTGTGTATTTAATTCTGTCAAAATGAAAAATGGATTTGCTTCAATCTCAGACTTCAAGGCATCTAAGTACTATGAAGAAGGTAGTCCTTTCACCTTAATTGTTGTAGCTTTTGACAAGTTTTTTTACCATAACTCACTCGAAATAAGAAACGTCTTTGTGTCCTTACCTCCTGCATATATGTACAAACACACATATGCACACACACATGACTGAAACACAAGTTTCACAGACAGTACTCTTACTGTTTTTATTTTCTTATTTTCTATTTGGGCTGTGCTAATGGCAGCGCCCTAAATTGATGTCACAGGTGTATTGAGAGGACCAACTCAGCAAATGCCATCTGGACAAATGTTCATCTTAGTGAAGCCTCCTTAAATACTAGTCTTCATTTTCTTTCAAGAGACGTGAGGATTTCTCGTGAGCATTTTGAAAACGTCCTTTGCATTTCATTTCAGATTGGAAGAGTGGGGCGATTAGGTCAGCATGGAACAGCGATCACTTTCATCAATAACAACTCAAAAAGACTCTTCTGGGACATTGCAAAACGCGTGAAACCCACAGGGTCCTTGCTCCCCCCGCAGCTGTTAAATTCCCCTTACCTTCACGACCAGAAGAGAAAGGAGCAGCAGAAAGACAGACAGATGCAGAACGACCTGGTTACGGGGGCCAATCTCATGGACATTATTAGAAAGCACGATAGAAGTAATGCTCAGAAGTGATCTGTTATACCATCTTGAACCATTTTTATTGTGTATTGTCAGTGAAACTTCTGTACATTATTACTGTGTGGGTTGATAAAGGTGACATGTACATGAAACAAAAAATTAACATGATGTAAAAAGTTTTAATAATTAAGTTTATACAGCCATATTGTATTTATTTACCTTTTTAATTTTCATAAATTAAAAACAACAGCAGAAAGTGAATTACTAAATAAAAATTTCTTTTCCTTGGAGAAAAGTCCTTTTTATTTTCAATCATTATTGCTCCTAGCTATCGTCAGAAGCAGAAAGCTGCATGGCCTGACTCAGATGGTGATTCTTCTGTTTCGTATCCATTGTGTGCATGCATGTTGGCACCTGGGTTATTGTTGAATTGATGAATATTAGGAAAAAGTAAATGACGAAAAAAATGGAAAAATGGTCAGCACTCCTTAAAAGAAATGTAAAATATCTGTTTTCTCTCTCAATTTTCCTTTTGGCTAGGTAAAAAAAAACTTTTATTTAATGTGGGCTGCTTACCAAAATGGGCTTCTCAGGTGTCTCAGTGGTAAAGAACCTCCCTGCCAGTGCAGGAGACGTAAGTGACGCGGGCTCAATCCCTGGGTTGGAAAGATCCCCTGGAGGAGGGAATGGCAACCCACTCCAGTGTTCCTGCCTGGAGAATCCATGGACAGAGGTCTACAGTCTGTGGGGTCACAAAGAGTAGGACACGACCGAGGGGACTTGGCAGGCACGCACACTTACTGAAATAATGAGTTACGTGAGTGCTGCTCTGCAATGGATGGTTTTATGTTAATGCTATTTTGCTAGTTCAGGTGACTTATTTAAAAAATAAATGTAAAAATGTGTCAGTGTGCCCCACACACGTTGGCTGAGCTCACACTGTGTTCAGGACGCAAGTGGCGTGTCCCCACCCGCAGTGTGCCGGCTGCATCATAAACCAGCCTTAGAGTCTGGGTAATTGGAGGAAGCCGAGGAGTGTTTCTCACGGCAGGACTGGCGGCCCTCCTCCGGGTCCGAGTTCTTCCACCTCTTGGCGGCACCCACTTAAACACGAGGCCTCCAGGGCTGGCCCGTCCGGGGCCAGACGTTCAGATCCCTCGGCCAGGAGGAAGGATGGCGTTTTGCTCTGATCCATCAGTACTTCTTTGCTTTGAGAGCCATTAGTATCTGCCTAGTTGGGTCAGTTAGACGGTGTGTTACGGAAAGGCTGGCATTAAGCTTTGTATCCTCCACTTGCTGCTGGGAGTGGGAGTGGCTGGTAGAAAGCCTGGTATCTGTCGTCTCCACCCAAGTCTCCCCAGAGTGTGCCAGCCCTCAGGACGCCCCTCGCCCCGGTCCTCTGTGTCTGCCTGCTGTGGGCGAGCACGTTCCACTTAAGGGAGCAGGAGCGGCCCCTCTCCAGGCCCCGCGCAGAGGGCCAGGAGCACAAGTGTGCACACGTACGAGGCCACGTCCACGCTCCGATGATCACAAAGAAAGGGCAGCTTTTCACGAGGCCCGGACGTGTTGACAGACAGAAACAGTGTGGTCAGAAAAGCAAGACAGCTTTGCAAACCCAGGAGACCGTCCCGAAGCAAAAACAGCCCCGCTGGGCTACACCACCACCTCGCTGGTCAGCTTAGCGTGTGCGCGCGTGGCTTCTGCCCGCGCCGTGGGTCACCCCGCCTAGTGTCTCTGACAGTGTCTCTGTTAACCTTCCTGCAGCCACGCGCCCTGCCCGCTCTCTCAGGTTCAGCTTCCGTATTGCGTGGGGCACGTGGAACCCCCTTTTTGAAGCTCATTTCTGAAGGTGGCAGGTAGAGGGTACGGTGGAGAGGAGGAGCCCTGACTCACAGGCGCACCATGGGGACGGGGTCTCAGCGCTGTGCAGAGCTGGGGTGGGGGGCGGACGGGGCGGAGGGAGGGCACCACCTCTGATCCTCCTTCGGTTCATCCCGCTTCCCCGAATCTCAGCCTCTCCTTGAGATCTCGGCTTCCCCCACTCCTCGCACCTTCTTCCCTCCTATTGGGGGCCGGTGGCTGCAAAGCAGTCCTTCCCAGCTGTAGAATAGCTTATAGACCAGACCATTATTTTCAATGGTCCCAGGGTTGCTCATAATTTTTCCTAATTGAAGACGTTATTTTTCTTAAAAGGCTATTGCCTCTCATTTCATGGAAGAAAGAACATGAACTATAGAAGAAGAAAGGACATACTCTCTGAATGAGAGCCAGCACACCCCAAGAAGGGGCAGGTGGCAGCCTTATACTGCGGAGCCGTGTGATCAAACTTTAAGTCATAGATGTTTGTGACAAATAATTGTACAGCTTGAAATTTTAATGAGCTGGGATAACTGGTCATATGTGGTCTCAGATGTTGGTTTTGCCCTTCTGCTAATTGTGATCTGTGACGGGGATACCAAATTCACTTTTCAATTGCTTTATTGCCAGATGGGAAGCAAACACCTCTTGTGTTTAGACACCTTAATGAAATCTAAATGTCTTTTAGACACTGCAGTATGCAGTGCCATTTCGTAAGATACTTTCAATGCCATTCTATTCATATTTCTAATACCAAGTGTATTTTTAAATCAACATTTTTTTCTAATAATAGACCAAGCACATTTTTTAAATCAGAGTTTTTTCCCAAAACCCAAGCTTTGTGTATGTGTGTGTATGGTTTTCATAACATCTTTATGAAGAACATCACCACATACTTAAACTATGACTCACACTGACAAATTTTAATAAATCTAACTTGGCTCCGTGAACCGTCATATTTTCTGATCAAACAATGCTGTTTTCTGTTGGCAGGTTGAATATTATCCAGGCTGTGCCCTTCTGTGGAATTAATATCAACACAGTCCTTATTGCCTTGTATTTTCTGCTCCCCACGAACAGCACAAAGGTGGCTCCATAAACTGGGCAGGCGTGATACCAGAGACGGCAGGACATTGGAGGTGACTGTGCTGGCGGCCACAGGTGAGCTGGCTCCGGAGAGGCTGGCCTCTTCTCTTCTCTCCAGGTGCGCGCAGAGTGACCCCGGAGGCCCTGGGGGCCCCATCACTGACAGTTGCAGAAGCACACTGTCCTGTTCTGCTGTGGGTATGGGGACCTGTTTTATAACGGCACGTGTGCTGTTGGTTATTAGACAGAATTACAAATAAAGTCAGGATAAGGAGAATGTTTTACCTCTTGAGTGTTGATAGTCATTTATAAAATGTTTGCAAACAATGATTTTAAACTGAATTTAGCTTTCTGAAAAATTTGCATATCCTTTTTCATACTTCATCTCAGAAAGATGAAAACTTGGCAAAGCCTTTTGCAAATATTTTTTCCATTAGAGAAAATGAATTACTAACTCTGATCTTGAGCTTTACTCAGCTATGACATGAGAAGTTTTGCTTTAAATTTCCCTGAGGTCTTACCAAATCTACGTGTTCTATGCTTCCTGCTTTTATATCGCCCCCTGCCTAGAATATAGTTCAGAGTCCTACAGGGCGGGGGAGTCTGGAGGAAACTCCATTGGCCAGGAGTTGATCATTATTGAAGCCTGGTGCTGGGGGCTTGGAAGTTCACTGTGGTTTGGTCTATATTTCATGTGTTTGAAATTCTGTATTCTATAATAAAACTATGTGTATACATAAAATCTCCAATCCTGTCCTTTGATTTCTGCTGTAGTTGCTTTTGTTGTTCAGGTGCCCAGTTGTGTCTGACTCTTTGGGACAGATCTGTGCTGTAGTTATAGATCTTTAATTCTCCACTGAGTCTTGGCTCAAATTTGACCTGTCTAGAGCCAAAGTGGGGCTTCCCAGGTGGTGCTAGTCGTAAAGAACCCACCTGCCAATGCAAAGATTCGGCTTTGATCCCTGGGTCGGGAAGATCCCCTGGAGAAGGAAATGGCAATCCACTCCAGCACTTTTGCCTAGAGAATCCCGGCAAAGGAGCCTAGCGGGCTACAGTCCATGGGGGTCACACAGAGTCGGACACGACTGAAGCGCTTTAGCACACACAGGGCCAAACTGACAGCCTTCCTTATGAAATCCTCTCTCCAGTTGCCTGTGGCCTGCGGTGTGGCTGCCTCCTGTGCTCAAGGTCCAGGGAGAGTCATCCAGAGAGAACAGACTTGGGGCTGCCTAGGGGAGTTTGGGATTAGCAGCTGCAAACTAACCTATATATATGGAGAGAGTAGAACGATATTCAATGTCCTGTGATAAAGCATGATGGAAAATAATGTATACATATGTATTGTATACATATGCAAAAGATTGTATACATATCCATAATTGAGTCACTTACAGTACAGTGTTAATTAACACAACGTTATAAATCAGCTATGCTTCAATTTTAAAAATAGATCAGGGAGTCGTCACCAGCTCCTTTCTCTCTCTAGTCTCTGAATCAGCTCAGTCACCAAGTCCTTCTTTTTCTTCATTCACAATGTCCACATTCACGTGCTGCCTGGAAGCTCCCGACCGGCAGCTGGCCGTGTGTCATGGAGGCTGCTGTCACCCACCGCCTAGAGGAGAGCCAAGAATCTGCTAAGGGAAGGACGGTTTAATTAGAGAAGGAAAGTTTCACATTTTTGTTTTTTTCTGCTTTCATGCTTGGTGATATTTACTTTGGAATCACAGAGGATTGTAAGTGCTTGGAATTGGGAAATAATGACAAAGTGATTCTGAAACTAGTCAGCATCTTAGAGCTGACAAAGCTGCTGCCATGTGAGTTAGGCAACTGAGTGCATTTAACTAAATGTGGTGCTTTGGGAAGGAAATTAGGATGTCTGTAAACAGTTGTCAGTGTTTTTAAGATGTTTCCCACAGAGTAGTTTATGACTTTTACAAATGCAAAAATAAAAAAGATGCAGAAAATTCCTAACTGAAAATAACATTTTACATATATGCATGTAAATGCATGCATATAATTCATATATGCATGAAAAAAGAGAAAGTATGTTTGGAAGAATAGTAATAAGGCAAACATGCAGCCTATAAGCAGAGAGGTGCGAGATTTCCACTACACGACATTTTAAAATAATGCACAACATGGGAAAGGAATCTGACAAACGCATGTACATGTATAACTGACTGACTTTGCTGCATGGCAAAAAGTAACACAACACTATAAATCAAATATACGCACAAAATAAAAAATTTTTAAAAAGAAATACAAACTACTAGATACAAAATAAAAAATTTATTAATACAAGGAAGTAATGTTATAGCGTATGGAATATAGCCAATATTTTATAATAACTTTACATAGCACATAATCCGTAAAATACTGAATCACTATGTTGTACACCTGAAACATAATACTGTAGATTAACTATACTTGAATTAAAAAAAAGTTCAAAAAATAAAATAATGCAGACTTCATATTTATTTATGCATAAATGATGACTAAATTTCCTTGTAATTCTGTTAGATTTGGGGGTGGAGAGTGTGGAGTTAGTGTGTTTGTAAGGTTGGGGGCGCCAGGAGCTGGTAAGGCGGAGCCCAGGACATAACCATCAGCCCAGGGCCCCAGACCCGCAGGGATCAAAGCTGCACTGATGGATTGGATCGTTAAAGCCGGTGGTGGGGGGCCCGGCGATGGGGGTGAGGGAGGCCCCTGCAGGAAGCAGGGGTGGGGCACAGAGAAAGGGAAGCCCTCTCACTGCCTATCTTATTTCTCAGGGAAAACCTCTCCTCTCCTATAAGGGGAAGCAGGAAGGAGACTTTCGCAGGGCTGAGGGTGACAGCAGGAATGGAAGCCTGGCGTTGAGAGAATGCTGTCTGTCCACCTCTGCTCCCCGCACCTCCAGGCAGGCGGGAGCACCGCCCTCTGCGCCCACCACCCTGCGGGCGGCCCGTGCCATCCTGATGACCCCGCACGGGCACCTGTCACACAGAGGGAGCCCAGAGCGTGCTGTGTCCTCGGGGAGGAAGGTGAGGAAGAAGTATCAGGTGCCACATTCCAGGAAAGGGCCAGATTACTAAAGATGCCGCTAGCTCAGGGAAACACAGAAACCAGGCTAATGAAATTCAGTCTCAACGCTGGAAGGTCAGGCGTTGGAGCAGAATCCTTAATACATTTAAATAGAGCTTTAACAGGGAGACCGCTGACCTTGGTGAGGAAAGAGCCTGGGGGCAAGATCATAACATCATCCAGAGCCTAGCTGCCCACCGGGCTTCCCTCCAGGCCAGAGAGGTTCTGAGTGCTCGAGGTCTGGTCGCCTCTCACATCTCATTTAGAACCCGGGGTGCGACGCTGGGCTCGTAGCTACTCAGAAACGGAGTCTTATGTTAGAGAGAAGCAGAAGAAATGAGAGGGCCGGTCGGCCTGCAGCTCTGAACCTGGTGTAGGATTTCTCAAAGGCATTCCACTCTCTTCCCCAGCTGGGCACACAGAGAATCTCTCCCCTTCGGCTCGAGTGTCGCGAGTTTCGAAGACGGGTCCCTGCAATTCCTTCCATTGTTTTCCTCCTTCTTTTGCTGACTCGGTTCTTCTTTCTGCTGTGTAATTTTGCAACAGAGTTCCTAAATTAATTGTAGGGAGAGAGCCAGAGATTTGAACCGAGAAAAAGC